CCATCCACTTAAGGGCAGTTCAAAATTTTCATCGTCGACTAAGGTCGACTGGTCCTTCACCGAACACCCTCCATCATCTTCTCTAACATAATTTGGTCCTTCGAACCGGATCTAAAGGAAACAAACCGTGACTTTTTCCTACTGTCCATCACCGTTAAACATAAATAAAGTAGTATCTACACGCTGCATCATTGGTTGTTATAGTTCGTTTCTGATTCTTCGCTGTTCATTTTTCTACTTCATCTACGTCTCACTGATTCAGCTCCGTACTCGTATCTGCTGATTGTTTATTCTGACCATTTTCACAATGTCACCTCCCGTTTCAATGGGTTATGTTGAAGCTAAGGCCCGCGTGATCCGTGGTACTGACCGAATCACCTCCTTCATTTCTGCCGCAGGTGAATACAAGGCAGATCCTCAAAATGCTGGCAAACGTGCCAAAATAGAACAAATGGTACAACACGTGAATGAAATCCGTAGAAATGTCGAAGCTGATATCCAGTTTATGGAGATAGCTGTTAGTCAGGGTACAGCGCCGACCGATGTCACTGATACCAAAGACAGCCGGACACTCTCTGCAAAATTCGATAATCTTTATTACGAACTCGTCGCCTTCGCGGATGTACATCGCATCACAATATCGTCGATCCATGACCAAACACTCTCTTCGACTATAAATCAATCAACCTATGGTGGGAACCTTTCCCATTATCAGTTGCCAAAACGAAAGTTCCCAACATTTTCTGGCAAAATCACTGAGTGGCAAGGGTTCGATGATCTCTTCAACTCGATACTGTCGCACACGCCCAATCTTCCCGACGTGGAGAAATTCGAGTTTCTGAAAACATCCCTCGAAGGCGAAGCGCAATCACTTGTTGCACACCTTACCTTGACGGCCGCTAATTACCACAGTGCGTGGGAAATATTACGAGGTCGATATGGGAACAAAAGAGATCTAGCCAGGGTTCATCTTGAAGCTCTGCTGACTCCGCATAAAGTCCTATCGAACGATGCCACTTCAATTAAATCGTTGATCCACTCGATTTTGGAACACACAGCAGCGTTGGATAACTTAGATCTCACAACACGACACTGGAGTCCAATATTAGTACATATGTTTGAAAAATATTTAGACTATGACCTCCGGGCGCGATGGGAAATGATTCTTGGTGACAGACACCAACCACAGGTTACCGAATTCGTTGAGTTTTTGCGCTGTCATGTGCGGTCAGCTGAAGCGCGTTCAGGGTCCTATTCATCGGTGGCACCAGGTCCTGTTAGTCAAGTAAAACCTACTTCAAAATCACAACATCCAAAATGGCAGCGTTTTACATCGTCAGCCAAAGCTTATATTGCAACCACCAACCATCCGCCATCTCCAACCATAACATGTCCATTATGCCAACAGACCCACTCAATACGCCAGTGTTCGCTCTTCGCGGATCAAGGTCCCAATGAACGGTTCCAAACTGCGAAAACCCATCAACTATGCATAAACTGTTTGGGTTCTGGGCATTCTGTAGGAGCTTGTCCATCAAAAAATACTTGCAATTCATGTAAAAAACAACACCACTCACTACTGCACTTTCCAGCCGGTACACCCACAGGTACAAGGGGTCCGCCGCCAACTTCGATGTTTGTGGCAGCAAAAAACCCTCAGTCCATACTACTATCTACGTTACTTGTGAGTGTCGTATCAGTCGACAATCAGAAATATACCCTCAGGGCATTGTTGGATACGGGTGCACAGGTTAGCTTCATTACGAAGCAAAGTGCCGATCGCTTATCGTTAACCCGTCGTCGTTGTTCAACACAAGTCAGTGCTTTCTCAGGTGCCTCAGTCAATGTCGTGTCAGGCGTCACATCTATTGTAATGTCACCGGTCGGGAAGCCGGACCCGTCTGTCCCTCTCGATGTCTTGATTGTGTCAAAAATAACTGACTACCTCCCTCAAACAACATTCAATTTCACTACATGGCCCCACTTAAATAAGCTTGAGTTAGCCGACCCAAGTTTCAATATTCAAGGGCCCATTGACATTTTGCTTGGTGCAGATGTCGCCCCAACGATCCTGACTGGTGGCCTTGTTGCTGGTCACCAATCACATCCAACTGCTTTCGGAACTATCTTTGGATGGGTTTTGATGGGACCAACGGCACCAATCACAATAAATACAGTCACGTCAATGTTAGTGACCACTGAAACGGCACTCGAAAACTCTCTTACTAAATTTTGGGAAATCGAAGAGCCACCTCAACTGCAACACCTGAGTCCCGATGAAGTGGTAGCTGAAGAAATATTTTTATCTTCCGTCAAACGTCTCACATCTGGGCGATTCAGTGTTGCACTACCATTTAAACAGCCACGTCCGATCCTCGGAGACTCGAAAGGCATGGCACAAAAGCGACTTCACTACTTGGAGAACCGATTATCACGTGATGAAGGTCTCTCAAAACAGTACCTGGAGTTTATGAACGATTACCTAACTAGTCAGCATATGGAAGTCGTTCCCACGAACCAAAGAATGACGCCATACTGTTATTACATACCACATCACTGCGTTCTTCGTCCAGAAAGTCATACGACAAAACTCAGGGTAGTCTTCGATGCATCCGCTACGACCACTGCAGGACGATCACTGAATAGCAGTTTGTATACTGGTCGAAAACTACAACAGGATCTACCACAGATCCTCATCCGTGCTCGAACCCATAAGATTTTGTTCACTGCGGACATTAAGCAAATGTACCGGCAGATTGAAATCCATCAGGAAGATCGTGATTATCTAAGGATTCTATGGCGCTTTGCACGTGATAAGCCTATCGAAGAATATCGTTTACGCACTGTCACGTATGGTACGTCCTGTGCTCCTCATCAGGCTTTACGCACTTTGCAGTACCTAGCCGAACTCGAAGAGAACACATACCCCACTGCCGCTCAGATCATCATGCATGATACGTTTGTTGACGACATCCTTACAGGGGCTAACACCCCGGAAGCCGCGCTTGAGCGTCAAGAGCAATTGATCTCACTATGCGCTCGAGGACACT